TAAATCAAAAGAAATGTATTCCACCTATGACGAAATCGATAGAAGTCAATGTAAACATGTCAGTGATTTCCTCATGTGTCCTGAAATATATCCTTTACATCCTAGAAGTGTACGCCCCATATGTGAGGTGCTTCTACTACAAGATCCAAAGGAAGTTCCGGACATACACGCCGAGAGACGTAATCAAGCAGGAAGCCCTAATACCACGGAGCACGGCATATTCTGTGTATCCAACCATTTCATCTTTATGATACGGAGTATCATTCTTACAAGGGAGGAATGTAGTAAACCGACGTTTTTACACAAAAACGGCGTTCCAAAGGTTAGGTGGTCTGAACAACATCACGCCACCAAAATAGGCCACTGAGGCTACCGCCTCATTGGTTAATACTGATCAACTACACATCACGCCATTCCTATGACGTCAATCATCCTTTCCTAAATCCCGGGCATGTCTCATATAAATAGGGGCCCTGTTTCACAGACTTTTCAGACATAGAAGTAATTACCAGTGCTTAACAATACTTGTGTGGGTCGCGGACTAGAAACAGCCGCATTGCCGTCCACATCAAGTATAATTTCAATTACAACTATTCTCCGGTAGAATTATTATTCTGTCGACAAATTTTACATTACTTTAAATTAACTACATTATTAGTTTTGTGTTAATAAACATTATATCTATAATTAACTACATTTTGTGTTAAACTATTCTTACTCTACCTTCACTTCAACCACCATCCTCCGATTCATTGCGACGACGTGTACGTGCATTCGTCGTTAAAGAAGTGTGCAGTAACCAATCAAGTGAGAGCGACGGGTTACTACAAGGTAATAGTGTAATACGGCTTATTGAAGCGGTTTACAATAAAAATACCTATTATAAAAATTGTAGAGGAGATTTTTTTTAACAATCGTAAGGAATCCGATTTTTGATATCGTATTCCAATCGTCCAATATCGCATGGTAAATTAACATTTTTTTTTTTACTTTTTATCGATTAATTATTTAACTTATTAATAAAAATATAAAAAATCCAGCTTATTTCAATTGTTGAAAAAATTCTTCTCTAAAACTTTTATAATAGGTAGTTTTGCTGTAAACTATTTAAATAGGCCGTATTACTTGAATTATCGAACAATTTGGGTATGATCAAAAAAAGAAATAGGTAGGTACTCAAAAAACCATTTATAACAATTAACAGAAATCTTTCAATGTAGACAATCTGAGCCACAACCAGGTAAAGTGGTACATATTATAAATTGAATATAATTTGCGAAAGGATATTTTAAATAGTCCATACCATATATTTGGCAAACACTCTAATTGTGCCCGATATTTTTGCACTGGAAGAAAGTTATACGAACTGAATTTGGTCGACGAAGTATTGCAAAGTGGTTTGATGAAAGAAATGACAACTGCACTAAGACGTGTTGCTGATAATGCAAAAAGTTTATTACTTGATGTTGATAACAACATCTGCGAACAGTTTAATAGTGTCATTAATAAGCACATAGGCGGTAAACGAATTAATTTTTCTCAAAAACAGTCGTACACCACTAGAATATATACTGCTGTACTGCTGTAGTATCATTTAATACAGGTGGCAATTATAAGAGAGCTTCACAAAAAGATAACAACCAAAAGTCCAGGTACATTATTTAAAAAGTACCTATACTGAGTTTAATTAATTCATTTTAATTTTATAATATTATTATGGCATCAATTAGAATTTAATTGAAATTTTGAGTTTTTTACAACAACACTTTCAAATTAAAATTTAATAAATACTACCAAAACTTATGTTTCACATTTCACATTTTTATATTTTGGTATATCGTATTAGCTATGAGTAAATTAAAAATTGAAATAATTTGTATATTAGAGGTGTATAGGCACAATAATAAAATAAATAAAATATTTCATTACGAATTATTTTTCAGTATTTATAAATTTATAATGTATGAATAGTATTAATTTATTATTATTATGTGGGTAGTTGTTTTAATATTATTATATGTGTATAGGAATCATAGCCAAAAATTTTTTGAAGCATACGGCAGATAAACGAATAACATTAAGACGCAGGAGAGCACTTTTTAAATTATCTGGAGTGTATAAATCAAAAAAAAGGTGGGTAAGTGGGTGTCGCTCTGTTGTACAGTAGGTTAAAAGTATAAGGGATGGTATTACATTTGAATTCAATGATATTATATCATTGTATAAGAAAAACGATTCTGAGCGGAGACGGTATGTCAGTCTAGGTATAAGACATATTATATACATATATATTATGGTATTAAACAAAAAATAGGTATCTATATAATAAATTCCAAATTAATCATATCACAATATCCATTAGGTACTTACAACGCGTTATAAAAACCGTGATACTATCATAGATATATAATAATACACTTTTGAAGTTTCAAGTACCCACGAATAATATTATTCAATCACAACAAAATAACTAAAATAGTTATTCTAGGTTTTTTAATATGTAATTTCGTCCATATTTGAATTTCAAATGTCTGTAAAAAATAACTGTGTACATATATTTTTTAGATTTTTTGGTTACAGTATGAACTATTTATGAGAATCTTTGTTTTAAATTTTCAATCCTTAGCTATAAAAACTGAACATTTTATAATTTATTAATTAGAATGATTGAAAATTTTCGAGATTTTGATAAATTTTGTCAAAATTAGATCTTTAAATGCTTATAAAAAAAAATTGTGCTTATGTATTTTTTATATTTTTCAATTGCTATTGTAACAATATATCAAGAGCCTTGTATTAAATTTTTACACTTTTTGGCCCAACAGATAAAACTTAATTGATATGTATAGAAAAAAAAACTAAAACAAATTGAAAGCGGTAAATGTCAGTAAACAGCTCAACAAGAGTCAAAATATTTTCAAAATTGTATGGTGTATAGGAAATGCTAATATAAATATTCAGGGAAATTTTCATGTATCAACAGTTATTCGTTTTTGAATTACAACAAAATAAGGAAATCGCTACATGAGAAATCGAGTGAATATCCAATGTTGTAAAAATTTGAATTTCAAACGCTCATAAAAATTTAATTTGACTTTCCGGTAGAGATTTTATTATTGATAAAGGTACACAAACTTATGAGTAAACTTGTATTACATTTTAAAATCTTAGATTTAAAAAAAAAATATTTTACGAATTCTTAACTCAAAATAATTTGCTAATTTTCGTGATTTTTCCATATTTTGTAAATTTTAGATTCTGAGTGAAACGATGAATGTATTGATTTTACAATGATGTGTGTTTTTTTTTTTATTTTTTATTTTTTTTGTGTCTGTGTACACGATAAGTAGTCGAAATAATGCTTCGATTTTCAACTTCAGTATCTTGTTCGATTGGAAAGTGAATATCGTTGGTGCATTGGGAGGTCAAAATTTAAAATGCTCAGTAATTTTCAATAGCACCGGGAAAAACAAAATAAAAATTAAGGAAAAACGGGAATTTTTACGCAAAATCGGTTTTCCAAAAAATCGATTTTGGTTTTTGGTGTAACATTAAAACAAATAACCGTAGATACATGAAATTTTCAGTGGTTGTTTATATTTGCATTTTCTATACACGATAACATTTTCAAAATATTTTGATTTATTTTGAATTGTTTAGCGACATTTTCAGTTTCCAATTTTATTAGTTTTTTTTTTTATGAATATCAATAAAAATTTATTTGTTGAGTAAAAATACTTGAAAATTTAATACAAGGCTCCTACTATATTGTTTCAAAGACAGATGAAAAATATTAAAAATCGTTAGTCACAGTTTTTTTTTCCATGCATTTAAAGTTCAAAAAATGACAAAATATGGAAAAATCACGAAAATTTGCAAATTATTTCGAGTTAGAAATTCATAAAAATTTTTCTTTTTAAATCTAAGATATGAAAATGTAATACAAGATTCCTTATAAGATTTCCTACATTTATCAAAAAAAAAAATTCTATAAGATAGTCAAATTAAATTTTTATGAGCGTTTGAAATTCAAATTATTACAACATTGGATATTCACTCGATTTCTCATGTGGCGATTTCCTTATTTTGTTGTAATTCAAAAACGAATTACTGTATATACATGAAAATTTCACTGAATGTTTATATTAGCATTTCCTATACATCATACAATTTTGAAAATATTTTGACTCTTTTTGAGCCGTTTACGGACATTTTCAGTTTTCAATTTTTTTAGTTTTTTTTTTCTATAAATATTAATAAAGTTTTATCTGTTGGGCCAAAAAGTGTGAAAAATTAATACAAGGCTCCTGATATATTGTTACAATAGCAATTGAAAAATATTAAAAATACATAGGCACAATTTTTTTTTATAAGCATTTAAAGATCGCATTTTGACAAAATATATCAAAATCTCGAAAATTATCAACCATCGTAATTAATAAATTATAAAATGTTCAGTTTTTATAGCTAAAGATTGAAAATTTAAAAAAATGATTCTCATAAATAATTCATACTGTAGCCAAAAAATCTAAAAATTATATGAGCACAGTTATTTTTTACAGACATTTTAAGTTCAGATTTGGGACGAAATTACATATTTAAACCAAGAATTACGATTTTAGTTAATTTGTTGTGATTGAATAATATTATTCGTGGGTACTTGAAACTTCTAAAGTGTACTATTATATATCTATGATAGTATCACGGTTTTTGTTGATGTATAACGCGTTATAAGTATCTAATGGATATTGTGATATGATTAATTTGGAATTTATTATAGGTACCAATTATAGGTCAATTTTTTGTTTAATACCATAGAAATGTATATAATATGTCTTATACATAGACTGACATACCGTCACCGCTCAGAATCGTTTTTCTTATACAATGATATTATATCATTGAATTCAAATTTAATACCATCCATTATACAGTGACCCACTTGTAACCTACTGTACAGCAGAGCGACACCCACTTGCCCACCTTTTTCCTTTGATTTTTTATAGTATTTTCCAATTTGTCAACAATATTAAATAATGATTTTTTTTTGAAGATGATCGCGGAGAATTGATTGGTGACTGAACACTAGGACTTGGTAAATTTCGTGTTGAATCGAGAAGTAATTTTGTCTTTGGAGTTAGGTCAGAAGTAAGACATGGCGACTTGTTATCTGTATTTTTAAATATTTTTTTTGTAGTCTGTATGTACAGTTCATCAAAATCATCACAGTTTTGTCGCTTTTTGTACCCGAGTGTTTGAATACTTTTTGGAAAAAATGGATGTCCACCGTAAGTTTTAGTTGGGGTTAATACTTTAATGGATTGTGGTTCTTCATATTTTTTAGGCACAACATTTTTTTTTAAATTTTTGGTCTTTTCATTAGTAAAATTATTATTCATAAAATGTTCCATACATAATCGTTTTTTGTACAAATCATCCGGAGTCAAATGTATTAAACTAATGTTTCCTGTACAAAAATAATTAATATGAATAGTCTAAAACAAAAGATCATAGATACATAAAATGTTCACTGAATGTTTATATTTAAATTTTTTATGCAACATAACATTTTAAAAATATTTTGACTCATGTAAAACTATCTATAGGCATATGAAATTTGTTGGGTAAAAAAATCTTGAAAATTTAACACAAGGCTACTAATAAATTGTTACATTGATATATGAAAAATATTAAAAATCCGTAGTCACAATTTTGTTTTCTAAGCATTTAAAGTTCAAATTTTGACAAAATACGTAAAAATGACGAAAATTTGCAAATTATTTTGAGTTAGAAATTCATAAAAATTTTTCTATTTAAATCTAAGATTTTAAAATGTATTTCAAGATTTATCATAAGTTTGTCCCCTTTTATCAAGAAAAATAATATTCAAAATCAATTAAAATAAATTTTTAGGAACGTTTGAAGTTCATATTTTTACAACATTTGATATTCACTCGATTTCTTATGTAGCTATTTTCTTATTTTGTTGTAATTCAAAAATGAATAACTGTAGATGCATAAAAATTTGACTGAACGGTTATATTCTCATTTCCATAACATTTTTAAAAAATGTTGATTTGTTTTGAGCTATTTACGGACATTTTTAGTTTTAAATTTTTTTTGTTTTTTTTTCTAAAATTATCAATAAAATTTTGTTTGTTGGGTGAAAAATATTGAAAATTTAATCCAAGGCTCCTGATATATTGTTACTATAGCAGTTGAAAAATATTGAAAATACATATGCACAATTTTTTTATAAACATTTAAAGATTTTACAAAATTTATCAAATTTCAAATTTCAAATTATTTTTTAGTTAAAAATTTATAAAATGTTTAGTTTTTTCTTCTATAAATATCAATGAAATTTTATTTGATGGGCCAAAAACCGTGAAAATGTAATGCAAAGCTCCTGATATATTGTTACAATAATAAGTTGAATTTTGACAAAAAATTTATCAATTTTTTAAAATGTATCAAATGTTCAACTTTTATATTTAAGGATTGAAAATTTAAAGTGAGTATAGAGTGTCTAATAAATGTAAATTAAAAATGCTCATAATTCATTTAAAAACTGAATTATCGTAAAAAAACATTCAACAAAACACAGATAATGTTCTTACCATTCAAGTTATAAGCTAAGTTCAAATTTGGACGAAATTAGATATTTAAACGAAGAATAACGATGCTGTTATGGGGTAATATAGGTTGTACCTATAGGTATATACCAAAAAGCTAATAACAATAATATAATAGAAATACACACAACTATTAAATTATATTAGCTATTATTAGTAATTAAATTTCAGTTAACGACTTAACGTAATAAATGCATTTTCTATAGTGTGAGAGTAGTGCATACTAGTGCAAGTGTCAAGTAACAATTATTATAATAGTAACATTGTAATAACTGTTGTGAATGCTAAGAACCACTGGTTACTTTATATGTAGAATATATGTTATTAGTATTAGTGATATTGTACACCACCTCGGACCTCCGGCCAAAACGGAATGTGCTGAGCAAACCCTTTCGGCCCGGACGGAGCAACGACTCGCTGTGTATAACACAAGCGGTCAGTCTTGGTTTAAAAGCAGAGCCTTATGATTGTCAGAACCTCACATAACATTCGGAACATTTTATATTAATTATATTAATTTAGAAGCATCTGCCGTTATTAATGACAGCCAATAAAGTTAATCTAGTTCTTTTCAATTTGTGTTGTGACTATATTTATTTGTGACTGAACACCTAAGTGCGTTCATAACATAACTAATAAGTAGAAGGAGGTTTTTTGGAATAATTGTGCTACTGTAGGTTAAGTTAGGTTTTATCTCTCGCTTCTTAAAAACAATGGCTCGGACGACTGCACGAGGGCCTAGCTTACCCGACCCTGCAGAGGCCCCGTTGTTGAATAATTCAGCGATCATGCAAATATTGCATACCTAATATACAAATATGTACGTTTCTATGATGTAGGTACCTACAATACTATACGACGTATACGTCTATATGTCTATATCTATTTATATATATAAATAATATATATAATAATGATGAAGATAAGACATTTACTTTTGGAAGTTTACTTCAATAAAGTTATGCGTATTTGTGATTTTTCTTCAAAGTTTAAATTCTATAATAAGAATATAATTTTATTTTTCGTAATTTTGTTTCTATGTAAACTGTAATATTATTGATAATTATTATTTATGGTTTTTTAGTTTTCATATGTTTCAATAATTTCATAGTCTTTTATAATAAAAGTACATTTTATATTATAATCCATATTGCTAAAAATGGCATATACATTTTTTGGGGGCCCCTTAAAAACTGCTCCCTGGGCCTTTGGTGTGCCAGGCCGACACTGCTCATGACTCAATAATGTCTCAATAACGATTGACGAGTGACTTCCTAGGTTTTTTTTTCATTTAAATATCCGATTACACCGAAATTTGAACTTGAAATGTGGCTTAGTGGCTGACATTGTTTATCGTTTTTATATATTTTTATATTATTGTATCAATTATAAAACATTTCTATTTTTCTTACCTGAATTCGAAATCCATTGAGTACATATGGAATTATCTTTTGGAAACCTATATAGTTTAAGGCCATCATAACTTCTGGCAGTTTTGCCGCAATTTAAATAAATACATTTCACACCACTTTTACGAGACATTATAATGTACTGTTATACCTACTTTTATGAAGAATGGTGTATAGGTACTGTACAGAAAAATTCAAAACGACTCTATTAAAGCATCTATTACTTCTTCCTACTACAAGTCTACAAGACGTAATAATAGATTACAAATTACAATACGTACACGGTCTATCACAGTAACAATATTATAAATAACCAACACAGAAAATATCTACATAATATTATTATGAATGTTTATGTTTATGTTTATTATGTACAACATACACGCATCTGATAAATTGACCAGAAAAATATCATTGTATTATTCTAATTTTAAATTATATATAGCAAACGTCTGGGACACATTTGTGAATTTGTAATATAAAAATATTATATCTACCTAATTAATAATAATAAATGTCTAAAAATAATGATTAATAGGTATTCAATGTAAAATGTATGGTGTTTAAAGTTTAAACTGTACAGCATTTGTGAGAAAATTTTGGAAACTTTAAAGGGGGTGTGGGGGGCAAAGCCCCCACTTTTACGTACCTATACTTTTCAATGCCTCATTTCCTCCATTTTATACATTTATTGCATTTCAATTTATTAAATTTTTATACATTTATAAATACTATTATTATAAGATTTATATTTTTTATTTATTTATTTATTTATTATGGGTAAACCACATATCAGAATAAATGCATTTTTATATTTTTTAAATACTATTATTATAAGATATTTTTTTATTATTTTTTTAAATTAATTTATGAGGGGACTTTTTTTCCGTGGAATTTTTTGCCTAATATCATATTTTACAGCGCATCATTTGGTAGAACTTTAAAATACTGTTTTTTTTTTGCACCATTCATGTGAAGTTACAACAATTTCTTTAATTGGATTTTTAAACCGTTAGCTTCATAGTAGCTACCATTCCATGTATTATTAAAATAATCATTGAACACTAGTTCAATTCGTTCCTCTAAAAATAATTATGTCTTTATTAAAAATACAATACATATATTAATGTTAGAGCATGAACTTTTAGTAAGGTACCTACCTACCTATTTTAATTAAGAATCTTATGTTTTAGTAAAAATAAAACATTTAAGTAGTATTGGTATTTTTATCTATGTTAGGAAGAACCGAAGAACCTAGACAATCTTTCTAGCTAACACAAAAGGTGTGTACAAGTACAATACACTTAGTCCAGTAAGAAAAATGTTCACTCTGAGGTAGGTATAGGTACCTATTAAAGTAAAAAATAAAAATAACTGCGTGTAGAGATCACATTCTACATTAATTTATTGAATTATAATAACATAATAATATTGTTTAATAATAGTTAGGCAGTGTTGTAAAGTATTTGAGTAAAAGTATTTGAGTAAAAGTATTCAAATACTTTTTTCCGTATTGAATACTTTTTCAAATACTTTTATTTTTGAAGTATTTGAACGGTATTTTAAATACATTTTTTTACTATTGAATACTATTTTATTGAATACTTTTTTTATTCCTTCAACTTTTTATTCATTGTCAAATAATAATAATGTCTTAATAATATTATAATATATATTTATCATTTATGAACAATTCTATATTGGTTTTAGTTTTCGTCTATTAATAGCTAATTAATATTAGTTAGTCTGAGAAACCGTCTGTTTATCGTCGACACTCCACGACGATCGGAACGGTACGTTTCGGTACCTACTACCTACCAATATAGTATATTATCATATCGAAATATAATACGAACATAAGGTAGGTAAGGTATGTCGTATACGTACGTATTTTTTTGTTTTGTATTTGAAAATTATTTCAAATACTTCTAAAAAGTATTTGAGTAATACTCAAATACTTTACAATAGATAGTATTTGGGTGGTATTTTAAATACTTTATTTTATAAGTATTTGAGTAATTACTCAAATACTTTTTAAAAGTATTTTTTACAACACTGTAGTTAGGTACCTATAACCTATTCCTACTAAATCGAGTAAATCGTTATTTTAATTTGTTTAAATTAAATAATATAATATAATATTTAAATGATAAATGATAAAAAAAAAGCGGGAAATTTGAAATGGGCCAATGAGAACGTGGTATACATAAGGCGCTCTGTGGCGTCCTGGGTTTCCTAATACGCGTCCCGACAGTTTCAGCCGCAATTGTTATTGCTGGCCGCCTCTGATAACGAAGCGCGTTACTGAGCTTCTAAAGTTCTAACCTTATAATTCTTGATTATACCGCTTGTTGTCGGCGTCCTTTTTGATTTACGGAATTAGTGCATTGCTCCTTACTTTGAGTACAAATGTTTTTTCATCGAAATCTTTATGATTACACGCATTATAGTTCTATAATAGGTACATCGATGTTGTAATAAAAACTGTAAACAATTAAACTCTATTATAGCAGTAAGTACTATTTGTGCGGTCCTGTCTACAAAGGTCACACCGCACACAAAGTGAGCCATTGCAATTGGACTTGTTGGACAAAGTATAATAATTTTTTTCTTGCTTCCAGAATCGAAGTTTAAGAAAACGCCGTGCCACTTCCCAAGTAAGTTTACATAGCCACAGTTATGGTATCTTATTGTTAATCATTAGTTTTGCGCGATTGTTTTGATCTATCGTCTCGGGGACTCGTGATCTGAAATCACTTCTCCTGGGGCCACGATTTAAATTTGGTTTCGAAATAGGTACCTAATGTCTAATAAATTTTGACAATTAGACCATACTGATTCCGTTTGTAGTATAATCATAGATCAATGCCGCAACAACCTCAGGGGCAAGCCTGTAGACTGTAGAGGGCCGCTAATCATTGGCTCAGAAGGCCCCGCATCTATTTCAAATTTTTAAATAATTACATTGTAAACTAATGTTTAAATCAAATAAAATATATTAAATAAAAATATTTATTTTTATAATTTATTATGCTATCTAATTAGTTGTCGAAGAACGGGCCCCTATTTATCCATAATAATATCTATATTTATCTATAAATCGTCACTGGATAGTGGGCCTTCACATTATATTTTTAGGCTTTTTAAAAATAATCACCATTATTATTTATTTTTGTATAGATAACCTATAAAAAAATATTGTATACATAGACCTCATACATTGACCTTGTCGGGGCTCCAAGAATCCTAATTGCGGCACTGGACACTATGCATGGTAAATCCTTAGCAACTGACGATAAGTTAAAATATTTAGGCATTATCTATTTATCCATCCATATTATCTAGTTGAAAAAAATAGTTTTTATTAAAGAAAAAATATATTAACTTTTAAAATTGCAGTCTTCTTGTAGTAGGTACATAAACTGAACTAGATGCTTTTAGAAAAGGATGTTCTATATGGAATATATAATGATGAAATTAATCGAACACTCAAGTCTAAAATTTCACTATTATTGAATAAGATTCAAATTAAATATAAAATTATTGTAACATAAATTATTCACTTGTATTGTGTTATATAGGTATATACCTAGGTACTTCGACTGTTGTCAATGTGTAAACTGTTGTAAACTTAAGCTGTTCAAAGCTTGTAGCAACGTATATAGTATTTTGTATTCTCCTGGGCCAGAATTCCCCTTTAAGCCGTTAGAAAATGCAGTATTATCTTATAACCCACTTAATTGATTTATTTTATAGTTTAATTCATATTATTTGAGTATAATAATAAATTACATTTTAAAATATTTGCTTATTTATAACAATATTTTTCTACATTTTAAAATTTGAATATTTTGACCAATACCAGGTTGTACCTATGTAAATTGTAAATGAATCTAAAAAAGTTGTCCTTTAACAAATTTGAATAGTGATATCTATGAATTGCCTTACCTCCTGTTGATATACATACATCTATTTTTTATTTCACATACTTTTAGTTTACCTAATGCGTATTATTGAATATTTTAATTACAATTTTGTTTACCAACCCTGATCCCATTTTTATCATTTGTAAACATATTGTTTTTAATTAGATTCATGAATTTAGTATATCTACTGAATTCTTATTAAATTGGTAAATTTAAATTAATGTCTTGCAGGTACCCAGTATTTGGGTATTCGTATTGAATACTTATTTTAAATATTGAACATCGACAAATATTTGTGTACATTTTAATTACTAACTGTTTTATTGTATTGAATACTTTCCATTAAATAGGTACTTTATTTCTGACTGTCAATTATAAATATTTAGAACTACCAAAGTATTATATTATATTACTAAAAAACGATTACTTCAAAAACCAAAATTTTATCTTTTTTAAGTAATAAGTAATATAGGTAGTATAATAGGTAGATTATATAGTAAATTATAGTTATAATAAAAATTTAGTAAATTATAGTTGATTATAAAAAAAAATTTGTTAATAAAATATGGCTTAAATACTTTATAAAATACTTAAGTACCTGCCTATTCGAGTAATAATCAAATACTTTATCAAAAATGTATTTTAGTAGTATTTCAATATGTCCTCTTTTTAAAAACATTTAAAGTTCATATTTATAAAAAAATTCGTCCAAAATCATAAAAACTTACAATTATTTTGTACCTAGTTAAAAAATTATAATTTTTTTGTTTGTATAGCAAAGTATTGAAAATGTAACGCAATGTCTCTTATAAGTAGTTGGCCCTAGTTGAAGAAAACACCAAAAAATATATTATAAACAAAGTTTTTTTATAGATATAATAGGTACCTAACTTCAAAATTTGATATTTAAACAAAGAATTACGATTTTAGTTATTTTGTCTTAATTTAAAAATATTATTCAACAGTACTTGAAACTTTTAAAGTATATTAGTTATTATATTTTATATATACAATGGCATTTTAAAATGTAATGTTTTTGACAAAAATTAATTCAACCTATTGTATTACTAATAGAAAAATAAATTACTTTAACAGCAATAATATAGAAATATATTTAATATTATAGGCGAATAGACCATAAAACCATATTTTATATATTTTATATTCTCTTGGAACTGTTTTTCGTGTACAATGTTTTTATATCATTTAATTCAAATTTATTAAATCCATACCTAATGTACAGCACAGTTGTACCAATTTGCCCACCATTTTTTTGCTGTCTGTCAACATATTGAGTAAATTTACTTCAATAATTTTCTATTTCAGCATTTTTTCTGATAGGAAAGTGAATATAGTTTGTACTTGTGAAAAACGGAAACTTAGGGTGGCTTCAGGGGTGTTTTTATAATAAGTAAATTAATTGGGGGGGGGGATGCCGGTCGGGATTCAGTTTTGGTGTGGACATTTTTATAGTAATTTTTAACTGTTTCAATTTTAAGATCTTTATGTAGTGAGAGGTCTGAGACGTACCATGGCGCAGTTGTTTTTTGGCGAAGGGAAATAGACTGGAAGGCTTGTATAGTTCGTATTTGAGAAGGCTTTTCAGTTTGCAAATCCCCATATCTGTATAATACTTATCATAAAAAAGTGGAATGGGCCGATACCTAAACATTACACTATTAAAATATGGTAATTCCAATCAATTTGGTACAATATTATAGATTTTTAAACAATCGGTACTCCTAAATCCTTAGGCCTTGGATGTTTTAAATTACCCAGGTGATTGTTATATGATGACACAATTAAACGGTTAATAATTGGTTATCCAACCAACATTTGTAATTTTAATTTAGTTTCATTTATTTTATGTTTATTTAAGCCTAAAAACTAAAAATGTACTTTTTGTCAATCCTACCGCTGGACCCGATAATGCGAAATAAGTCTCCTAAAAACTGGTTTTAATTTGTTAATATGTCTACTGAGTTCAATCAGTCCATATTTTAGGATATAATTAAATTTCGAATAATCAACATTTAAAAATTCATACATTTTAAATATTCAAACAATGTTTATACGAGTTTTGGAACAAATTTTTAAAATAAATGGTCTGATCGAACTCATTAGTAGACATATTAATGAATTCAAATCAGTTTTAAGAAGTCTTATCGCGTTAACAGGCCAATCGGTATGATTGACAAAATATTGGTTCGTTTTGGTTGAAATAATTGTCCGTTTGGAATCCCCTTAACGTATTAAAAAAGTATTTGTTAAACATTGCCTTTAAGTATGTGTATTCAATAGCCAACAATTTATTTTGTATCAAGATAGCCTACAAAATTATAAAACTTGGTTTTTGTCAATACCTACATTTTTGTTCAGATTAATGTGGTACAATGGCACCTACCTATTTTGGGATTTTTTAAATATCTTTTTTAACAGAAAATAAAATATTTTAATAATTTATAAATTATAAATTATTTTTATAATTTATAAATTATAAATTATTTTATTTAATTTTAATTTTACCAAAATATTTTTGTTATTTCTTCTAAAATAGTAAGCATCCCGTGCTTGTACTGAACTTGCTACTTTAAATATATTCATAATAATTATTAATGCCTACAATGTTGTGGCTTATGACATACAAATTAATATTTTTCCATGAAGACAAAATTAGAATATGTCTTGTATTAATTATAACTTTATATTTTTACAATATAATTTTTAAACATAAATTTAATGAGTATTTTTTGTTTACAGATAAATTACCTTCTTTAAGTAATTTAAATACTTTCAAAGACGAAAATAAGGAAAAATAATAAAAAATGGATAATAAGCATATTATTAATACAACTGAAAAAGATGTTGTACCCCATGCAACAATAAATTATGAAAATAGTGTAGAACATTTGGAAGAAGTTTCAAAGAATTTTTACAAAGTATATTTTTGTGACAAATCAAATGATTCTAAAGATGCTACCAGTATAGTTTCTCCTACAACTGCATTGCCAATAAAGTGAGTACCTTTAAATTTAATTTTTGAAATATAAATTATAATTAATGTGTTGGAAGTTACAGATTATGTGAAAATAATACTACCAAATCCTACAAAAATAAAAATATTGCTCGTGCAAGTCCACTGCTGTTAAAACGTACATTAAAAAAAAATCCATATTTTCACAATAGGGAAAAATCTTCTAGAAAAAGTTGCATTAAAAATGTACAGTTAGATAAAAATATATCTGATTCTGCTGGTTTATCAGATTCTGAAAGTTTATCAGATTCCATAATTTTATCAGATTCTGAAATTATAGTACGTAATACTAATAGTTTATTAGATTCTGAAATATTTTCTGAAACTGATAGTGTAGAAATATTTCCAGTTTGTAAAATTAAAGAAACAGACTTTTTAATGATTGGGTCAGATGATGATTTGAGTTTAGATTCAAATTGTGAATTTAAAATAAACCCAGATCGTGAAATAAAAATGAGTTGTAAATTTGTATCTGATAGTGAGAAATCACTAGATGGTAAAATTATATTGAATAGTGTGAAAGAGTCAAATTGTAAAATGGTGCCTGATGCTGAAACTAAATCAGATAGTAATGAGCAATCCCATATAAATACCTCTATTACTGAAGAGGAATTCAATAATAACAAATTATCTACATTCAAAATTGTATCCAATGTTCAAAATAGATCAGATCATGAAATATTATTGGATAGTGATAAAGTCTTAGAAACTGCATCTTGGAGTGAGAAAGGAATGATAAATTATAAAATTATGTCTGTTGATGAAATTAAACCTTCGGGATATAAGGGATTCACATGTATAATTATATCTGATAATGACGATGAATTCCATAATATAAAATTGCATACCTATCAAATTAATGTTCAGAGAGGATCCAACAGTAAAATAATATTGGATGGCGAAAATGTCAACATTGAGACTGAGAATAGAGAGGTAAACTATGAAATTGGACCTTTTGAAAATAAGAAATCTAACAAATGTATAATTATATTCGATGACGAAAATGATTTTATTAATAACAACTTATCTACCTTCAAAATTGTTTCCAATGTTAAAAAAGAATCTGATTGTGAAATGATGTTAGACGGTCATAAAGTTTATGAAATTGACTCTGAGAGTCAGAATGAAAAAATCAAGTATATAATTTTATCAAAATATGAAATTAAATCTTCTGCTCAGCCCAGATCCTCGATTATGTTATCCAATAACGAAAGCAAATTCAATAATAAAAAATCTACATTAAAAATTTTAGTAAAAAATGTTCAAAAAGGATCACAGAATGAAGAGATACAGAATTATGAAAAAGTTTCAGATGTTAAGTTTACGTCAAACGGTAAAATTATACTTTCTGATTCACTGGGTTTAAAAACCTTAGATAATAATAATACCATTAATAATGATTCACAATTACAAATCAGACATTCATTAAATTCATTTCCTTGTTTAGAACTGACTGTTAATCAAGATGGTGATGCTAAACAAGATACAAATCAAGAAGATTTAAAAAAAATTTACTCTGCAATAAAATATTATTTTGAAAATATAGAAAATCAATCACTAAAGGGATTATATTCCCAGATAGGCAATGATGAAGACATGCTTCTGTATCTGTTGGAAAATTATAGAATGTTTTACAACGAGGAACTGGTTGTTTCTAAAACGGCCGATAAATTTTCTAAAGATTATTTAAAAGAACAAAAAACAGCTTTATTCAATTGTTTTGGTGACCCTAAAGACAGTATTAATGCCTCAAAACCATTTATACATCCATCATCGCATCTACACCAGTACAGTAAACGTTCATCTCCTTATATTGAACCACTTGTAATCAAAGACATCACAAATACTACTAGTGCATCAACCAGGAGTATTACAAGTGCTTCACCAAAAAAAATTGTTGCCTTAAACAGTGTAAAAAGTAAATTTAACATCAGAACTTCAAAATTATTACCTTTATGTAGTTCAGTAAAATCAAGACCTATTCTTTACTTGTCAGATGATAATCAAACATTTTCACATTTATTTGTAACTAAATCATATAATTTTCAATTGCCAATAGCGGTTAAAAAGAAAACAGACAACAAAAGTAAAGTTTTATCACCCCAAACACTTAAACTAAAGAAGTAAAATATATCACCTCTAATATATAAACTAAAAAGCAGCAACTGCAGTGAGACCTATCAACTATAGCAGTGTTTCCCAACCGGTGGTCCGTGGGCCAGTCATAGGTGGTCCGCGGTACCTTTCTTAGTTTTCTATTAAAAATTATTTTTTTTTTTTAAACAGCGAAAAATATTTTATTTTACCGTAATATACGGTTATCTTATCGTATACAAAAATCACACTAAGTAAATTATTAGTAAAGTTTAATAATTTTCCAATAAATTTTTGTTTATTCTTGTCAATGAGCAAAAAAAAAAAAAGTCTTCCTAGTTTGAGTAAAATTGAGGTGGTCCGTGACCTATAAAATATTGTCAAAGTGGTCCGTGGTGGTAAAAAGGTTGGGAAACACTGAACTATAGTATGGGCCACAAAAACGTGCGGATGATTCAGTGGCGTTTTTTTCTGTTGGGCTATAGTAGATAGATAGCCCTACCGAAAAAACGCAAGGGGTGCTAGATTCGTCTGCACGTTTTTGTGGCCCTTACTATAAGCAAACAAAACCTCCAGATCTCTTATGACCTAACATCATTGGACATTCCATAGAAATGTATATTGATATAATAATTCCACTAAGTATATATTGTTAAAATAAATTGCAAATTATATTGTAAAACTTGCTTTTGGATAACAATTATTTTACTTGTACTTAATTGCTGACTGATTATACAACAAACTTCTTAAACTATTAAGTACCTACCCAATAAGACAAACAAATAGAACTAAATATTAATAATAACAATATTGTATATACAATTTGTGTAGTTTTTAATCTTGAATATTTTTTGTTGCCTATAATATAATAAGACAAATTAAAATATGATATTATTATATATTTTTATTTTTATTTATTTTTAAATGCATAAAAATTACAACTTATGTTTATTTATTAGATGACAATTATTTTTCTTATTTAACTATTAATTGCTGACTGATTTTACAACATATTATATTTTAAATGAAAATAATTATAAAATTATATTATATACTATTTATGTAAGTACCTAGTCGTAATCTCTTTTTTTTTTTTTTTTTTTTTTATTGAGTAAAAAGACAATCTACAATCTATACAACAAATATGCACATTAATTAGATGAGATAGAAGAGTACAAAACAAACAACAATGAATATAATGATTTTGGGTAATTACCCAGTGGTAACAACCAGCACGTGAAAATTTATTTACTGTCGGTTAATGCACCATTTTCTTTTTAACCTACGTTGAGGGTTATCGGGTAGAGTTTTTGTTGATAGTTTAATAATCAAGGGGTTTGTATGTGACTGGAGTTTATTGTGTAATCTAGCATAGTATATTTTGGCATTTTGATTTAAAGTCTGTACGTACTTTAAGTTCTTTGTGAAGATTATTGTTCGTTATGTACCAGGGTGCAGAGGAAAGTAGGCGGAGGCAGATGGATTGAAAGACTTGAATTTTTTTGGTGTTGGAGGGTATCGCGGTTCCCCATAACTGGATACCGTAGGTCCATAGTGGTTTAAGTAGAGACTTATAAATTAATAATTTGTTATTTACTTATTTATGTTCATTTTAGATCGCAGGAGTAGTCGTAATCTTAAATCATTTTTGTTATTAATATATAAGTAATACATTTAAAACTATTTTTATTATTTTATATCTTTTTTAATGCTGACAACTATGTTTAAAAAGGTAGACAAGACGTGTACATTGTAATGTACCTATGTGTTAAATTTAAATTGAATGATAAATCAATCCAAACGAAAAAAAGATTCTGAGTAAAGACGGTTTGTCAGACTATATTACTATTTTAATAATCTTATGATATTATTGCTATTAGAGTAATTTATTTTACTATTAGTAATACAGTATAATCAATTAATACAAAGTCCTAACCGTACTAAAATCCGATGAATAAAAAAAACCAAATTTAACCCTTTTTAAGTTAGCCTATCTTTTTGCAGGAGGTCTAATCTACACACAAACATTCATTTATATATTTATTGACAAAAAATAATAATACAAATCAACAAACATGGCTGATTAACCAATAGCCATCAATATAAACAATTTTATATATTATATAATACACTTTTTATTTTTTTCTGGACAACCCTTATCACTTAGGTGTATGAAAAATAGATAGAACCTACTGAATAAGCATATACAATGTCATAAAAATCGGTCAAGCTGTTTCGTAGAAGTATGGTAACTAACATTGTGACACGAGAATTATATTATACATAATATATAAATATATAATAATATAGGTTAATAAAAATAATATTATAATATAAGTTTCATAAGCTATAAATATAAGTTTTAACTTTTAAGCAGGGGCGTCATTTCAGGTTTTTTTCGGGTGTGCGAGGTTTCAAGCAGGCCATTTTGAAATTTCAGTATAAAAATAGATATACATACGTATATGTACATTATCCTGTTTTCAATTATTTCCATGCATTATGGAGTATGGACCGAATCAATTCGGAATCATTGCATCAAAATAAATAGTAAATATCAATTAAGAAACTAAAATATAATAAATAATGATTTACCTTAACAGTGAAAACCAATAACAATTGATGCATAAAAAACTAGAAGAATTAATGCAGCAGCAAATAAAAAAGGACTTAATGAATTGTCGTTTATTTTTATAATTATTATAATATTGGAAAAAGCAAAGCGCTAGAAAAAAAATATTTTAAATTTTTTTTTTTTTTTGGATAACCCGCGGCAACATGGGCCATTGGGTGTGTGGAGGGAACTGTAGGTTTTTAGATTGGGTAGGTTGGTACACGAGTGTGTTTGTGGTGGCAGAATTTTTATTGGGGCACCCGTAGGTTTCTGCCATGCCCCGGGGTGGGGGATGGTGGCATTTGTACTCCGGACACCGTGGCTTGCCCGGAGAAAAATGCCGCCCAGTGGTCGAGAGTCGAACCCGCGACTGCCAGCGCTGCAGTCGACGCGTTAGACCGCTCGGCCACCTCGTCCCCCTATTTTAAATTTAAATGAGCGGATATCGTCGATTTTTTAGTTTAGTGAATTTATCTACAGCTTCTTATAAATTTATATTGTTAACTTCTTTTTTTTCAACATTAAGTACCATCCAATCACTTAGCCTTTCATCACCCATGGTAATGCGTAAATATGACTTAACTATTTTAAGTAATGAAAAAAACCTTTTATTTGATGCCTTTGTAATTGGTAAAGTTTTTACCAATGAAATAATTTTTAAAGTTTCAACAAAAGCGATGGGAAAATCTTCTAGGCATATTGCTAATTGCTATGGTGTCCAAATCAACATCATGTTTCTCATTAAATAGTGCTTTTACTGATGGAAACTCAGAAGAAATTTGAATTTCATTAAAGTTAATATAAATATAATGGTTTATAAATAATTTTAAATAAAGACTATCGGGATTAAAAAAATTGGGACTAGAAAAGTCAAACATTTCAAATAACTTAAACAAGTTATTGGTTGGTTCTGAAAATCTTTCATTAAGTTGTCAATATAAAAATTAAAATACAATTTAATTTTAATCATATTAATAATTGTGCATTCGTGGCTCGTGCATTATTTTAGGCTTCAGCGAGGAGCAGGCCAATTGGAACCATATTAAAATTAAGGGGTGCTACCGCACCTCTGACCCCCCCCCCAAATGACGCCCCTGCTTTTAAGTAGGTAGGTAACCAGAAATATATTTTAGATTTTGAGTGAAACGATGAATGTATTGATTTTACAATGATGTGTGTTTTTATTTTTTTATTATTTTTTTTTTTTGTGTGTCGTCAGTCATAAGTTTATCTACCTTTATCAAAAAAAAAAATGTCAACATTTATCACTTAAAATAATTTTTAAAATGTTCAACTTTTATAGCTAAAGATTGAAAATTTAAAACAACATTCCACGTAAATAGGTTATATATAAATTACTTTATTCACAATAATATCATTAAATATACTTCGTAATATCATAGGCTGACTGACCGTTTTCGCTTAGAATCGTTTTTCTTATACAATTAAGCACCATCCATTACAGTGACCCACTTGTAACCTACTGTACAGGAGAGCGACTTTTTTATAATGTTTTTAGTAGGTATAATATTTATCAAATGTTATTTATTAAGAGAAATTATACAGATATATTGTAACCTATTATACAGAAAAACCAGGAATTTTTATAGGTTGGTACTTCACATTGTTTGTCTTAAGAAATTACGGGGTGACATTTTTACAGTCAGCAAATACTTTATCTCACCTCCCGTTAAAGTCATATAACGCTGGCCCTGCAGCAGAAGGATACCCTGCATAGTTGGGCAAGTCCCAACTATGAATTTTATTGACATTTTAATTTCATTGGTAAAGCGTGTGATCTACCTAGAAAACAGTAAATAACTTAGTTAAATAAAAATAAATATGTAATATTATGTAATGTTATTCGATTAAAAAAATAACTATATTTAATGCGCATTAAAGTTTTTTGTGTCTTCAAAACAATTGATACAATTTGTATTAGTCAAAATACATAAATTATGTTCAAAATATGATAACTGTTAAAATATTACATTTTATGAAACATAAAATTTTTTTATACCTTCCAAAAAATGTATGAATAAATAATGTATATTATTTCGATTCTTTATTCGAAATGTGTTTTTTTTTTTTTTAATAAATACATTCAATTAAATTGCGTGGTAATAGATTTTCATTAGTCCCATGTATTTATCTTAAAATTGAAATTTTAAATTTTAGTATTGACCATAAACATTCTATTGTTTACGTGTTAGTTTCTACACTAGAGTTTTCAAAATTAGGTAATAATTTTATGAAAATCCGATTTTTACAACACACTACCTAGGTACGTACTTTCGCACACACGACTCAGTTAATGGTAAACACATAAATGCACAGACGATAGATGTGGTGACCTGTAGGCTATGAAATAAGATATTTTTACATGCTTTTCTTTAACTCGCAATGTTTCATTCATTTC